TATGACAAATTACTGGACACGCCCCCATGAAAGTATATAACAGATGACTGGACACGCCCCCATGAAAGTATATGACAGATGACTGGACACGCCCCCATGAAACTATACTATTCAAAAAAAAGTAGGGGATATTTGATTTTTAAGTGTTATTAAAGTCACCTAATGAAACTGGCGAAGAAACAAATGACAAAATGAAATGAAGTTCACATTCATCGATTTATTCCAAATGATCGTTAGACTAAGTAAGGCACAGACTGACCATTATAAGGGTAAAATGATACCCGGGGTCAAACAGCAAAGTTACCACAGCATCACAACCAAGTCAGTAACGGGTAAATCCTCCTCTGTTTGCCAAACAAGCATTGATCCGACGTGGCATACTCCTAATGAGACGTCTAAGGTCATTTTGGTCCAGATTGTCCCATTCCTGTTGCAACGCAGCAGCAAGTTCTTGGACATTGGCAGGACGTTGTTGACGTTGACATAACCTCTGTCCAAGCATGTCCCAGACATGCTCGATGGGGGAGAGGTCGGGACTCAGTGCTGGCCAAGGTAATGTGGTGATGTTCTGTTGTTGGAGGTAACCTGTAACGATCCTGGCCCTGTGACATCTTGCGTTGTCATCCTGGAAGATGAAACGGCGGCCATGACGTCGTGCGAACGGCACAACATGGACTGCCAAGATGTTGTCCCGGTAGTACTGGCCTGTAACACGCCCTGCAACAACATGTAAAGCCGTTCTTCCAGCAACAGTGATGCCTCCCCACACCATAACAGAACCACCCCCAAATCGATCATGTCTGATGACGTTAACGTCTTGGAAGCGCTCGTTTCGACGACGCCACACCCTCCTACGTCTGTCCAAAAAATCAACAGTGAACCTTGACTCATCTGAAAACATCACACTGCTCCAGCGTCGATTATCCCAGTGTTGACGATCCCTACACCAACGACGTCTTGCCTGAATGTGATGATCTCTCAAACAAGGGATCACGCGAGGACGTCGGGCGCGAAGGTGACCCCTATGCAGTCGATTCCGAATCGTCTGGCCACTCACTCTCACACCAGTGTCTGTTTGAAGACGAGCGCTGATCTGATTTGCTGTGATGACACGATTTCTCAAGGCCAAGGTACGGATAAATCGATCCTGGGCTTGAGTTGTCGCCCTTGGTCGACCTGAGCGTGGTCTGTCATGTACAGATTGTGTATCAAGGTATCTGGACCATAGCCTGCTTATGACAGACTGAGAAACATACATCGTCCGCGCCACAACCGCCTGTGTTGTGCCGATCTGTAGCATGCCAAGGGCACGTAACCTTTCATTTTGGGTAAGCCGACGCATATCAAAATTTGTTTTCTGGTCACTAAAACAATTAAACTGATGTTTCCACCCTGGAATTCAATGCCACAATGACTGTAACATTCAAAGTCAGAGTCGTGCAAATCTTGGGTTGGACCCCCATGATGATCCCAAGCATCACCTGCATTCCATGCGGTAGCTATTGGTGCGTTTGGGCGTCACATGTAACTGGAAATGTTTCTTCTGTTAGGTTCTATAGTGACTTTTTTCGTAGTCATTTGCATATTTTAGTATTATGCCCCCAAAATCAAATATCCCCTACTTTTTTTGAATAGTATATATGACAGATGACTGGACACTCCCCCATGAAAGTATATGACAGATGACTGGACAAGCCCCCATGAAAGTATATGACAGGTGACATGTAGTTCAACTTTTGATTTTTAACTTGATGCTAAATTCAGTTCTTGTTTCACATTTACAGTAAAATACAAACAATCAATTTGATATTTTTATATTTTTTATGACTATAATTTCTGCCATCAATTTTAATCTCAATTAGACAAATATTATTAGTTATAAAATCTTACAGAAATATAATCTCTACACCTACAGGTAAGGCCAATTAAACAAAGGTGTAACAAAATATACCTTAGTTATAAAATGTTACAGAAATATGTTGATATCTCTACACCGACAGGTAAGGCCAACTTAACAAATTATTTTTCTTCTCAAAAACTCCTACATCACTTATAAAGAGCTGTGTGACCTTTTTTTATTTCAAACTATAAGAACGGTCTACCACATATAAATCTTGTCCACGTGTTAGAAGAACGGTCTACCGCCTATAAATCTTGTCCACATGTTATAACAACGGTCCAACGCCTATAAATCTTGTCCACTTATTATAAAGAACAGTCTACCGCCTATAAATCTTGTCCACGTTTTACAACAATTAACTAGACCTGCCACGTGTTATTATATAAAGAAATTTGAATAAAAAACGGAAATGTACCGAAGGTTCAATTATCAAATCCCTGATAAATTTTATTGACATCAATATAATGGATAACCACCCCACCCCCCTGCACCAAAATAATTTCTACTGTATAATTATATATAACTATCTCTGTAACCTTTGTCTTAATACACAATCACAGAATTACACCCCCCCCCCCCTCCCTACTTAAACATACATTCTCTGTACCAAGCACCCTCCCATTGTTTTTTTACACAAGATGACTGAAAGTTTTTTTTGTATTTATGACACATCTTAAACTTCGGATGACTGAAAGTTTTTGTATTTATGGCACATCTTAAACTTCAGATGACTGAAAGTTTTTGTATTTATGACACAGCTTGGATTATTTCTGTAAAAATTTCTTCATCATTTTTCTCTGTTTTCTCTGTTTCTTTGACAGCCGGTTCTATGTTTGCATTGGTATCGAGACTGCCGAGGGATAGTTTATTGGGATTAATGGTGACAGATTTGGTACAGTTGTGGGTTTTATAAATACCAACAAGTCTGTCTGCTAGTTCAAACATATTACTACGTAGTGATATAATTATAAACTGAGCATTCCTGGTTCGTTCCTGAAAAAATAAATCCATGTCAATTAGAACAGACAATTATAATAAATATACACAGTAGTCCCTATCATGTTTGAATTAGCTAGCCCCTATCATGTTTGAATTAGCTAGTCCCTATCATGTTTGAATTAGATAGTCCCTATCATGTTTGAATTAGCTAGTCCGTATCATGTTTGAATTAGCTAGCCCCTATCATGTTTGAATTAGCTAGCCCCTATCATGTTTGAATTAGCTAGCCCCTATCATGTTTGAATTAGCTAGCCCCTATCATGTTTGAATTAGCTAGCCCCTATCATGTTTGAATTAGCTAGCCCCTATCATGTTTGAATTAGATAGTCCGTATCATGTTTGAATTAGCTAGCCCCTATCATGTTTAAATTAGCTAGTCCCTATCATGTTTGAATTAGCTAGTCCCTATCATGTTTGAATTAGCTAGTCCGTATCATGTTTGAATTAGCTAGCCCCTATCATGTTTAAATTAGCTAGCCCCTATCATGTTTGAATTAGCTAGCCCCTATCATGTTTGAATTAGCTAGCCCCTATCATGTTTGAATTAGCTAGCCCCTATCATGTTTGAATTAGCTAGCCCCTATCATGTTTGAATTAGCTAGTCCCTATCATGTTTGAATTAGCTAGCCCCTATCATGTTTGAATTAGCTAGCCCCTATCATGTTTGAATTAGCTAGTCCCTAATCATGTTTGAATTAGCTAGCCCCTATCATGTTTGAATTAGCTAGCCCCTATCATGTTTGAATTAGCTAGTCCCTAATCATGTCTAAATATTGAGTAAAAACACCAACATGTCAGTATCAAGTTTTTATTTCCCTTCAGGCAAATAAAATAATAATAATTTGACTTCTATCTTGTTTTTGGTACAAGTCACCTATTGTTGAAATGTAGGGTCCAAAATTGCATGTTTTCTTGTCTCTACTTCCAGCTTGTGTATCTCAAGTTTTCCAAGGTGAACCTCATACGTGCTTTTGGGCAAGAGGTTGCCACATGTTGCTCCATCTATGGTAGAAAGCGTTCTACCCAACGAAAATTTGGGAAAAAGTTAGAGCCGGTCTAAGAGATGAGAATTAACATTAAAGTCAATGGGCAAATATTTAGTGATCTGTATATCAATAAATTCTATCATTATGTATCAAATTATATTAAGTATTCTTCACCATGAAATGTTTTTGTTCTGAGTAACTGAATTGTATACATCAGTTTTATCATCCATACCTGTCGCGTTCTAACAATCAGAATGTCCAGGTGTGACACTACGGAGTCAGATGTGTAATCAGGAACTTCCAGACAACCGTGCGTGACACTATCGTTTAGGACTTTCTTTGACATCATGTCATGATAACTATTTCCAATGTTCAATTAAGTCTGGAACACCTTTTACATTAACTATGTTTTTATATCTTTATAACATCCATAATACTGGAAACTACACACACAACTATGACATTAAATATAAGCTAAATATAAGGTCTCTTTCCCCAACTTGTTTTTACTAGATTACAATTAACATCATTCTCTTTACCCTACCATTTCGTAGGAAAAGTTTAATGACGTACCCCCAACATCATATGGCTCGCCTACGACATAACGGAGTGGTCTAATCCAAGTGGTGTCTAGATGATGTCCGAATGATGTTTGTTTCCCAGCCTCTCAGCCTAGGAGGCTGTGATGATACCCTGGGAAGCCCCTCAATGATATCTAAAGGAAACTAAACCCCGCGCGTTCTTTTTAAAAGGTTACGTGCATGAGTCGTGTATCGAGCCCCGGGAAATTGACCAGGTACTTCCTTTCTCGGATTGGTCAGTTGCAAAGAAAGCTACCCTGGATTTCAACACAGTGTACTTATATGGGCACCTAGGAGGACAGTTACCCGCGTGTCTACAGCATGGATTACCATATTTGGATTATGAGACTATGATGTCATTGCCTGATTTTAAACTACCAGACTTATCCTTGTTAGCCTAGTTCTTGTTGTCACTGGTACTAGCTAACGACTTCAATACATTAACCAGAACATATTTACAGAACTTGGGTAACCTCTACAGTATACAGGCCCTATAGTATTATACAGGGTTCAATCACAGTGATGGTCGAGAATAGGTTGGAAGTATGGGATGTGGTGGAACATAATGGACGGTCTCAAAGTAGGTTGGGATTATCGAGTATAGTGGAACAGAATGGACGATCTGAAAGTAGGTTGCAATTATCGAGTATAGTTGTTCGAGCAGAAGGGAGTGGATGTCATGCCCCCCCCCCCCCACACACACACACTGTACAGAGGGAGAGCGAGAGGGGACCCTAATAGTTGTCATCGTCTATCGGATACTAGATTTAACAACAGGAATTTCAACTGTAATCTACAGGTGTAATAGTTAGGTGGGGCTTATTTACTGCCAAACAGACCGTGACTATTTTATCGTCTATATAAATATATATACGTTATAGACTTGTATATAGGCCACTATACTTATGTTATGTTATCGAGACAAGCAGGTATTCATTTATTGAAACTGACTATTATAATATTATATTAGATACAACCCGACATTTATACAGTAATATACAAGTGACCAATATGATATAATATTCACAGATTTACATGGAAACTTTTGTTGACATTTTGGAATAGAATCAGGCAACTACAAGATTGTTCAAGTAAATAGGTGAGTTTTTATTATGATAAAGGGGTTATAAAGACGGGATCTTTTATATGCACGTCAATGTGTACACGGAACCTCGGGTTTTCATCACATCCAAACGACCCTGTCCTGGCCAGACTATCCGTCCTGCACCACTGACAAAGGCGACACCGTGCCGGAAATTTCCGAGGAACATTGTTCGACTGGGTAAGGTAGGCTACACTTTCTTTGGTGGCGGGTTGTGATTAAGACTGTTCGGGAGCCCCCTCTCCCTCCGATAGCCCAGTAGGCCTGCAAGGGGAAAGGTAATATGTGCCCATCGACTGGTGTTTCGATTTGTTTTTGTTTTTTTACTCTCATTGGGAGTGTGGGGCGGGGGAGGCAAATTCCCTTTGATTTTGTCGGTTTTTTGGTCAAGAATGAAAAAGGTATATTCATAGGCGTACAAGCCAGTTGGTGGGATGGGGAGGGGGTCAGCTGCCCCCTAGCTTTCGGGCAATCTAACTTTTCGGGCAACGGGTAAAGTGAAAGCGAAAATTATTATTTCATCTATTTGGCAAAATAAAGTGCCGCAAATTTTTTAATTGAATGCCATTTTTGGCAAAACGTGGCAAAAGTGTGTTAATATTTTACCTACAATTTTGCCACGTTGTAACGTGGTAAAAAAAGTGGTAAAAAAAAATGCCACGTGCAGAAACGTAGCTTTTTAGATTGCCATGTTTTTGAAACGAGGTATTTTGTCCGAAACGAGGTTGGGTAAAAAAATGCCACGTTTTCTTCAAAATAATTATAACCGGTACTTGCCATCATCAAATAGAGCCACACATATAATGTCTCGATCTTCACGTGAATAACTACAGATCTACAAATTAGATTATTTATCGGGATATCATAAATATAGTTAATTAATATGATGGTTTCCTTCACTGGAATTCTATTGTGTATAATAAACATGGCGGTTGGTGGTTCTTCTCCTAGCATATGTTAGATTAAATAAACACTAGTCTATTGTTTATTTAATTATCAGTTAGGTGGAAGCAGACGTCAAGTAAAGCGCAATAGAAACTTTAGTTTTAGTATTATCGCGCTATATAAATAGAGGATTATTATTATCATTATTTCACACAGACGGCGTTGTTAATTAATTTACGAGCTCAATCAGGTATCACCAAACCGCAGTGGTTACTTAACACCTATATGGGTCATTATCAAAATCGGTAGAAATTGCAAATCCCAAATGAGCAAATTTCAGATTTGATTAATTGTTTATTTTTTATTATTATTTGATAAACCATAGTTCAAAGTGTCAGTTCTGAATTTAGAACAATTTTACAGAATTAATATTTTTTTGCCAGCTTTTATCGGTCACCAGTTGGAAATATGAAATTTCCCTCAACGATTAATAATTTTGTTGAAAATTTGTGAATATTTCATAAGATCATTTTTAAAGCATATTATTTCTAATGATTGGTCATTCAAGCATACTAAAACATGTTTTCCTCAGTTTGGCTACTTTTTTTGTGTACCTAGTTTATACTTGAATTATTATGGATTGTTTCTAATTTAAGTATGTATGTGTACTCAGACAATTATTTCGTCATGTTCTGTTGAGATACATCAATGAATCCTTGAAGATAAGTAGGACGACTGAAGATTTAGGCTTGCTATCATTTTTACTGACTGTAAGAAAACTGGAAATATTCTGTCAAGAAATATATTTCCACAAACTACGTCACATGAGTACTGACTGGCACTAGCATCATATATTTCCAGACAAACGGGAGAAGGGTTTAATATAGGCTATGATTGTTCCTCAATCCCTATTCAGATACAAATCTGAATAAAAATATTGCTTTAAAAAAAAAACCCCAAAAAAAACAAACCGTGATATCAAATTTATGTTAATGGTGTGATGTTACTGGATTGATTTTACAGGAAGGACATGCTCTCTGGAATCAAAATTATTTACAAATTGAAACAGCATAATTACATTCTTTTATTACTATTTTATTAGCTTGAAATTCCAATTTATAGAACTGTATATAAATCATAAAATGCTAAACTATAACATTGCTGAAATTAGTAGAATATATTGCGCTTCAAATAAATGATGATAACAAACGAATAACTTTCAAAATAAAAGCAAAAGTCAACATTACCAAATTTTGTAGGGGTTTGTCTTTATACTATGGCTAAAATTATCTATAGACATGGTAAGGTTTGGGGGCGTTTGGAAAACTTGGACCGTGAACATTTTATGATACATTTTCTATTTATTTTGCTTGAACATTAGTAGTTTATCCTATCATCTTCTAAGATTTTGGGAAAGTATATCCTACAAAGTTTTGTTCTGTGGTGTTTTTCACCACAAGAGTTCCACAAGATATTGGACATAGAAAATAATTCAATTTTTTCAAAAATTTCTTCTGAGACCCTCTTAACCCCCGTTGTGGTACCACATTCCACCAGATTTTCGGGGGCCATGAAATAAGATAGTCAAGTAAACTAGAGTACGACAGGTTTAGTATTCGGACAATGAATTACAGTGGGCTGATATCCAGTTACATTTGCTCTGTTTTTGCTTGAAAAGACACAAGAAACAGATTAAATTTAGATTAAAGCGATGTGCTCTTGCTTTTCTTTTGGAATTGTCTGTTTTGAATGCCATCTACAAGTCTTGCAAAATATTAACAAGCTTTTGCCAGGTTGGGACAAAAATGTCAAACGTGACATTCTGACTTTACTAGTCGCTATGATTGAATTTATCCACGACTGGACGCAATCACGAGCAATCAGTTGATCATAGTCGTAAGCGCGCCCATGTCGCCCGGTATCAATTGAAGAATCGGAGCCACAACGGATCACATGACTGACACGTAATAACCTTCAAAATGACCTCATTCCACTTGTCCCCTGGGTACCACGTGACTAAATAACCGAATCCTATTGGCTACGTCAGCGGAGCGCCGACACACCAAACACAAGAGCGCTCAGGTCGCCCAAGCAGTCACGACTAATCAGTTCCACTTGATCGTAAACGAGTCGCCGATTTCGAGTCTCCGTCAGTTTGATCGCGTCGTAGGGCGACATAAGCTAGGCTTAAGGTAGGCTATATTGGACCACATGGAAGTGGCTGGAATAGCAGGACAATGCGTTTGCGGCAGTTAAATTTTCAAAATTTTCTCCTAATGGCTCCATCTTCGTGGACAGTATAAGATTGATTGGTTGATAGGAATTCGAGTCAGCTACTTAAGTTAGGCCATTTTGTACTTGATGTATTCATGAGCTGGGATCGCAGGAAAACGCGTTTGTTGCCGTCCGCTCCTTCACCGGACACCACCGTCTGTGACTCTCATTTTTTTTCGGGCATGGCAGGTTTTGCCACCCATCCACCCTCTCAACTCCTAACCTCTACCACTCATCGACCCCGGACGCCTATGTATCACGGGACAATTTATGTATAAATTTATCTGATATTTCTAGATGTATCTCGGTAAGAGGACACTGGTAAAACACCCTTCATAAAAGGCTTTTTGTTATTAAAAAATTTAAATGTCTCATCATGATCTAAATGTATAAATAATGAATCTATTTATCGTTGATGTTATACATACGTATACAATTTCACACACCGTCTTCTTTTATATTATAAATATTGTTATTGGCATACTTATTCAACAAGGATGTTACTCATATATCCATTTTATTTTTACACGTGTGACGGATTTAAGGGGCATAAAAGGTCTGACTATTCATTTTATTCGTGGAAAGCAGTGAGGTGTTACATAGAAATAGATGTTAATACATAGATATGACGTCACCCTTTGGTGTTTTTAACCGGTATATAGGAAATTGTACACTTTTCTTAAACAATCGCCTATTATTTATAAAATTGTCCACTATTTATTGAAAATAATGGACAGTTTTACCAATATTAGACAGTGCATGAAAATACTTTAAAACTTCATAGTTATCGAAATCTCAGATAACCTAATGTCGATTTCGCTTGTTTGTCGATGTGAAGAAATTACTGTTTCCATATTGTCTATTTTGTTGTCAGCGAATTTTGGTTTCTTTCCTACATAAAGAATTCAACTTAAATCCGCCTGTTGTATGTCACTGGTCTGTTTATAAGTACGTTCGGCACTTGATCGATGATACGTTTTTTATACGCTCACATTTTCACGTGGACGTATATTGACGTCGCTTATGTCCGTCCGTTCGTTCACAATTTCTTTGTAGCCACTCTACGGGTTATAACTGTATATCCCAACGATCTCGGTTCCTTTCGATATTGGCTTGTATGGGATCGTGTCTTCATGGATTATGGCCCCTGATTGTACCCACTAGAGGTCGCAATTTTTATCCTATTTTGAAGATACTGAACATGTATGTTTATAACCCAAAGATCTCGATTCCTTGCGATATTGGCGCATATCTGAACGTAACTTCCTGGACTATGGCCCTTGATTGAACAAAAAACCGTGTTTGTACACAAGTTAGGTGTCTCTATTTAACAACACAAATTTGTGTTGAAAGAACACAAACTTTTGTTAAATGTTGAAACAACACAAGACTTGTGTTAAAATTTACCAAACAACACAAACTTTTGTTGAAACTTGTGTGAAAATCTACACAATACTTGTGTCGAAACTTGTGTTGAAATTTCTGAAACTTGTGTTGAAATTTCTGAAACTTGTATCAAAATTTCTGAAACTTGTATCAAAATTTCTGAAACTTGTGTTGAAATTTCTGAAACTTGTGTTGAAATTTCTGAAACTTGTGTGGTTTCATAAAAACTTGTGTATAACCACCAACAAAAACTTGTGTTTTATTTTCCCTCAATTTAGCAATCTTTCCCATGCAGCCCCCCACCCCTTTTGCTCTGTTTAACCTGTAAAGTTTGATAAATGAGGTAACAATAATTTTATTTGTTAAATTATCATTTATTCATAAAATGATAGGAAAAAGTAAATTAACACCACCAAATCAAAACTAAATAGACATCATTTGAAATGTTAACA